TGTGCCGAGCGTGACACGTCGTTAAACGTTAGCTTATAAACGTTACATGGAAAAATTCCCATTTATCAAAATTTTTTCCCCATTTAAAGGATCTTTTCGATATTCGAAAATTTTCTAACGAAGTTCTTTCAATAATCACGTTAACAATTTTTAATTGTTCGGAATTTTCAGAAGTTATTTTTTGTTAAATTAATCAACTATATTTCAATTTATTGCATTAGAGTGCACAGATGCGTGTTTCTAAAATTTTGTGGAAGCTATAAAATAATGTCTTATCAATATCGTGGATAATGTAAAATTACTTGAATTCTTCTGTAACTATTCCTTCGTTAGAAAAAAGAAATAAAAATAAAAATGATAACGCTTGTTTAAATCGAAGATTTGAAATTCTCGTGGAACGATTTTCATAAATTGAAATTCAAATCTCGAGCTGTTCGACAAAAAAAAAAAGAAAAATAAATATAATGAGAATAAACGAGAAAGATATAGCACGCTGAACAATGGTGGAATACCTAATGAAATTAAGTCGTCCACAGAGAAAAATTTAAACTGGCATTATTAAAAAGTTAGAAAAACAATAAAATAGAAAAATAATAAGTTCTCAACATAATGAAATAATGTAATTTATCGATCGTTTTATCATATTTCGTATCGATCTTGATTGAAAATTTCAATTATATCACAATCCTCCACCAGAAAAGAAAAAAAAACACATCATTTTCAAATGAACATCGTCCCTTATCGGAATAAAAGAGTCGAGTATACATTTCGTCGAGATGAACATCTTTAATCTCGATCCCGATATAGACTCGGAGCTCTTTGACTTACTCCACCCCCGCGAAATTAATTCCAGACTGTTGCTTCCACCAGACTCCGTCGAGGCATGGCATAACTTCGTACTCAAATGGGCCGTTCCATTTATACCAGCGTGCATCGATGGTTTTAAACGAGTCACGTTCTGCCAAACGATGTCGCTGGTTAAGGTGGCCACGTCGCTCGATGACTTTTAAATACGGATTAAATCGACATCTTTATCGTGATTGTTCCGTTCGAGAAGTTAAATCATCCTTTCCTTGGAAAGGGACGATAGAATCGTTTTGTTCGCGACCGATAAAACTCGCGTTTTGTTATATCGAGAATCGGGGATGATATTTGAATATAAATGCATGGAGAGGGAAGTTGCGCGTATAGTTTGTTGCTGCGTTATTTCAGATTTAATTTTTTGTAAGAATCAATGTAATTTATTGTTTTTATTTTTGATATTTCGTTGATAACCTTCCATTCTTCATTGTTATATTTTAAATGAATATGTAATTATAATGATGTTGCATGATAAGAAATTATCTTACAGAACAATATTTAACTATTTCATATTTAGAATGCTAGATGCATTAAAGGATAAAAATTAATTATTTTAAAAGTAAAGAATTTATTTAATTTGTTTATTATCATTATTATTATTAACAATACGAATAAATAAATTTATAAATAAATAATTTTTATTTAAATTGTACGTATTCATTTTTGATTATCTTATATTCATATAAAATTTACAAAAGGATCAATCTTTTACTTTGATAAAAATAAAGAGAAAAATGAATAAAATCAGCAAAATCTCACTAAGTGTTAGTTATTTACCAGAATAATAATAAATACCAGGGCAATGTTCCAGAAGTGAGAAATAAAGTTTAACCTTAGTTTAGCAGTGAATTGAATGCCCCAGTAAATGGAGCGTATTTATTTAAGCTATCGAGGGCATGGCGTTCGATATATTATTCGCGTGTTCACCAACAAGTTGATCGAAGTCGATTACCGGTCAGCTCGGGTATCTGCAACCACCAAGATCTTTGTGGACATTCCTTCTCTATTGAAGAAATCCAATACCGCAAAGTACCCGTATTTATCTATCGTCCGCGTGTCGGAAATACGTCCACCGACACGAAAAATCGTTCCTAGGAACTTTCCTTCTTCCCTAGAATTCACTAGAATCCCAGGAAATGACAATGATTCTTACCTCCACGTTCGACAATCTTACGAAATTCATCGAAATCGAAGTAAATTTTGAGAGAAGACGATCCAGTTAAGTCGATTTTATTGAAGTTCGTTCCAAGTTTTTGGATGGTTCGAGTGTCCAGGTTGGGAACAGATTACATTAATCGTGAATTTTTCATTAACCCATTATTCTTGATTATAATCAGAGATTGAATTAATAATCGTAACGGTGTAATTGAAAATATGATTCGGATTTTATCTTACTTTTACGAAAAATATTGAAGATTGAGTTATGGTTTTGCTTGAAAAAGTAAGATTTTTTTTTTTGCTGCAGTTTCGCTTTTATATTTCCATTATAGCGTATCCTATCTAGATATATCTGAATATTTCAAATAAGAGATATTGAGAACAATAAATCTGAACGTGATTGTCGTATCGTATGAATAAAACAGATAGAATTGAAATGAGAAATGATCGGTGAGAAGATTAGATCATCTACCATCTGAAATTGATGACCATGGTACGATCCATAGCAATTGGAGAAAGAAGATAACGTACTAGGATTTGATTATATTTTATTGCTAAGAAGCGATCTGACCATTTTATAGGTTATGATAATTCTTCCAATCCTTATATACTATGATTTCCAAGTATATGATATTCCATCTTCCAATCTTCTAAGAAAGAACATTGATGAAACGTATTGCAAAATTAATTTATAACTAATAGAAATAATGTAATAGAGTCAATCGATAATTTTTGCGTAAATTTAAATTATTGAAATAATTATCAATAGTGCATTATTAATTTAATATATTCCTTTGTTCACTTTAATAAGCTTGAATATATTTTCTCTCCGTTTAAGCTTTTCAATTGAATATTCTAATAATTATATTAACAAGTGATTTGCGTATTTGAGATAACGATACGAAAATTTTTTTTTTTTTTTGACGAAAAATTCAAAAGTCGGTAGCTGCATAAACGGAATCGTGAGAATTTTATTCGTAGTCTGTCCTTTTAGACGTAAGTGGGTTAAATCTACTTCCATATAACGGTGAAATGTCGAAGACTGTCGATATGCTTCCCAACTGCAGGTACATACGTATTTATTTTGAACTCCTGTCGAATCGCGTGACACCGTTTGAAAAGAAGACAGAGTTTTCCAATTTAAATTACACCGATTCAGGACAAGTCTAGCAAAACTTATTTTATTGTGTTTTACCTTCCATGCAAAATTCATAAAGTTGACATTCATTCAATGAAACATCAAAAATAATAGTCTGTAGAAAAGTATTTATATATATATATATTTTTACGTAGTATTTATTCAAGACTTCACAATTATAATCGAACTCTCGTTTCACGTGTTTATTTCAATTAAATCAAATTTCATTAATCAAAACTCTTATATTTGATAATTTGCACCTGAAAATATACGATCACACGAGCCACCTCTCTCTTTCCTTTCTATCATTTTCCAAATGATAAATTAATGATAGTAGAGTGGTTTTTTGTGTAATAGTAAAAGGCAGTGAATTATTGTTGATGCCCTTTATTGCGTTAGAATCATTATATACTACAGAAATGTGAAATGTGAGAGATGAAGAGAAAAGAAAAAAAGGAAGTGTGTTTTTTATCAGGATATTCAACAAGATGGTCCTTTTACCAGTCTGAACTCTCTTTCGCGCTCAACAATACTCGTATACAAACTTGTTTGAAAGCATCCATTAATCATACTAATTCTACAATACATAACCATGAAAATAATTCTATCAAAAATCAACTAGAAGATACTAATTTCTTTTTCTCAATAGTATAGTATAATCTGATCTTTCAATAAATTTTAAATAAATTTTAAAACCTAATTTTCTTTCAATAATCCTTCCATTGATAACCTCTTGACAAAAAAGAACAACTGTTATCCTAAATAAACCGTACCCAATATTTTCACGCTGCTACACCCGGATAATTAACCAAGACTCGTTTCGATGGATGAACACCCCGAAACGTTTCCCTTGTTTACAACGTTTTCCAAGAACATCGTATCGTTTAAGAGTTCACGAGAACGAGATCATTCTTTCCGTCGTTTGCATCCATCTTCGAGGAAACTTATTGTTCCCATGGACTGGGTTGCTTACGATGGTTGGGGAGGATTTTTTCGTGGCTTGTTTCCAAGCAGGTGGCGGGTGAGAAATTTCAGCAATTCCTCCTCGCAGTTAGCAGTTCCCTGCACGTTTCTTACGCGGGGCTGGATCTGAAACGAACCGATGACTGAAGAAACAACTTATTTTTCCGCGAAACTTGCCACCGCGACGTGAGCAAGCTTTTTCTCCCTATTTCTCGGAGGACCTCGTTACGAGTGTCGAGGAAATTTTAGGAAATTCTCAACGTTGAACCAGACGGAATGTTTGAGTGCTCGAAGCTCGAAGGGATATCTCGCAAAATGATTGTTTCTTTTGTCTTTTCTTTTTTTTTTTGATCGTTTGTATTAAATAGAAATTATGTAAGATAAGAAATCGTTTTCTTTTTCGGTATATTTTATTGGGTTAAGATAATTAATTATATTTTGTGATCGAGCTGTTGATCTTTTGAAAATGTATATTAAAAATAAAATTAATAAATGATTGTATCTTTTTCTATATGATGTATTCAAGATCTAGAGTGTATAAAGTGAAAAATCAGAATGTAGAAAATTCAGAACAATTTTCCTCTAACTCCTAGTCTAATTTCTTCATTCGAATTTAAAAACATCGGATGAAAAAGAAAAATAGATCGCGCATCATCTATCAAAAATTTGGAAGATAGTAATTTTCTTCATAAATAATAAATTTTTTGTACGGTATTCCCGATTTATTTATTTATTTTTCTCTCTAATTTTTTATTTCTACGAAACACGTCAGTGATTTTCAATTTTTGTGACAGTGGCGCATTCGATGATATCGCGCGACAGCTTCGACGAGTAAAAATGGCGATGCACGCTCATAAAAATAAATCGACGTCTGTTTCAGTGCCGAAGGTGGAGATCGTGGACGAGCACGGGGCAACGGCTGGTGACAAATTTTACAAAGCTGGGAGCACGATAGAATTGAAGTGTGTGGTCAGCAATATACCGCAACCTACCGGATACGTTACGTGGCGCCATGGATCCCGAACGTTGAATTACGATACTACTCGTGGAGGAATCAGGTGAGCCTCGAACCTACGATTTAATGGTATAGAAATTGATTTCACTGTGGGAACCGGCTCCAGATATAATTTCATGGCGAAATTTCTGCTATTATCGGGAACCAAAATCGAGATTATGTTACCGGTGAAATTTAATTTCGCGCGATGAAAATTCGAAGAATGAGGTTATGTTTAACAGAAATGTCGTTTGGATTAAGGAAGAAGAAGAAGAAGAAGAAAAATTATATGTAATGTAGTTGAAATAGGAATTTTTGTTTCCATTTCTTTTTCTTTTTTTTTTTTTTTCTATTAATTATAAATTTAATCAAGCTGATGAATTTCATCTAATGTAATTTAAAAAATTGTTGTTATCAAAAGAATTATTTTGCGTTAAATATTATTTCTCTATCTTATATTTTTGCTATTCATTATCTACATATAATATAATACACGATTCCAATTGCGAGTTTCAAACGAATGTTAAATTTATATCAAGTATCTATTGGTTATAAAATATTTAATAATACCTGATATATTGAAATACCAGTATATTTAAATTCTGAATATTCAATAAATGAAACTTTCATGTTAATCGAGGAAAGTATAATTAATTAAAGTGACGAGAACAGAAAGAATTTCAACTGTTTCGATGAATATATTTCCTTTTTTCTTTTATATATATATATAGCAGCGCATTTTCTCGTTCTATAAATAATAATGAGCAACGACGTTGTTTAATGACGACCAGGAAAAGATTCAAACTCCGTAGGAGTTCTCATTAGTAAGAACTAGACGTTGGTAGTTTTTCACTGAATTACAGACATGGCATAAAGTTTCATTCCAAGATTGGAGCACTTTCAAGGCGTTCTGACCTCATATTGTAAATGTGAAATTTCCAGGTTCTTTAGTCGTCGTAGATCGCGAATGCAATTATTAGGATTTGTTCAGAAAACGCACAAGTAGCTTGTATAACTTAAAATCAGAGTAATCAGAGAAGTAAAAACGAAGGTTGCATTGAAATTAACATAAGAAAATTTAACGTGTAATTTAATTCTACTGAGATAATTTTTTTATCATTTGAAAAATAATTAGAAAGTAAATAATGTGATTAATCTTTAATTGCTACCTTTTAATTTGAAGCATGAAAATCGTATTAAAAATTAAATGTTTGTTGAAAAATGTAATAATTCGATTTTATTTGAAATAAAAAAAGTAATAAATAATTTAATGTACCTAAACATTCAAATATATTGGATATCAGTAGTTAATAATCATGTGGCGCTAGTCATAGTGCTAATATAATTAAGATGTAATGCAAAACATAAATATATTAAAAATTATATCAATCTTTGTTTATCAAGATACATTATCCTTCTTAAAAATTACAATTCAATAAGAATCTTTTCATTTTGAATCACTTTCAAAGAATTTATATTCACTCGAAAAAAAAAAAACGAAAATAAAAGCATTCCAAAATAATTGATTCCATCTCTTCAAAGTGATATTTTGATAGAACCAAAAAAAAAAAAAAATTACTCCTATTATATAACCTATTCTATTCTAAAAATAAAAACTTGCTCGTTAACATTTGAAAAACGTAACCAGCCAAACGCAATCAATTACTTCGACAAAAGAAATTTCCCTCTTCCTTTATCCTTCTCATCAAACCTATTAAAATCTTCCTCAGAAACTTCGTATAATCAACGTTAGATGGGCGTTATCCTCGCTCACAACCTTTTATTCCACCGCCTCCTTTTCCTTTTTTAATTAAAATGAACAAGGTGGAGGGGAGGAGGGCAAGGTGCAACATCCGACCGCATGGACCGTATTCAGATATGGTTTGCGGGCACTCGAGTAATTTCGTTGGCCGGCCGCCGATAGTTTATGCAGGCTGCATGGGGATTCTAATTGCTCCGATAAAGAATGGAACGTTCGGTGAATTTTGAAAGGCTTTCATTAAAGTTCTCTGAACTGGGGACGGACCGTGTGTGACCTAATTGGTTATAGATATGACAGAATTCATGAATTTTAAATAGCCTCTATGTCCGGCGTCTGGGCCTGGACCCCCCTTTCGATCACGCCTCGAATTCGTCGATAAATCGATTTCGGTGCATGCTCCTCGTTAATGCGCTCACTGTCACTGCGGGGGAGGACTTCCTTCTCGTCGATTTCGCGTGTCCACCCAAAAGAGTTTCACGCCATTTCCCCGTGCAATCGCGATGACGCTCTTATCGCTGGTCTTAATAAGTGTATTTGCTGATCGATTAGGATAGTTGTTCGTGGTATTTCCTTTGTTATTTTTAACAGTCGAAATATCATTGTTTTTTTTTTTTAATCGTTGGTTGGTTGAATTCGAAAGGATTCGTCATACGAAACTCTGGAAATGGTTTTAAAAAATGTTGACTTCTGGAAGTTTTGATTTCAAGTTGTAATGATATTTATCCTTTTGGCTTGAGAAAAATTTAATTTTTCGAGAGTTTCGATCAAAAATTATTTAGAAAATAATAGTTAATATTAAGAAATTAAAATTTCAATATAAATAAATACATTACATACATCAAATACAATTATATAAATTCATGTATTATTACAATAAATATTCGTCGAAACATTCGAATTATTTTTAATTCTTTTTAATTTAATCCGTTATCTTTGTGCAATTATTATTTGTGTACACATTGCAAACATTAGATTTTATTCGATCTTGCATCGTTTATTGTATACACTTGATCATGATTTATTGAAGTTATTACGAGATTCCTATTGGAACAATAAACATTTCGATAAATATACTTGCTAATTTCACGTCCAATTATTCAACCGGGTTATTCTGTTAACTTAGAGCCGAAATGGAACGAGGAAATACGAAGGTGCAAGAGAAATTGCAAACGTTCGTTCCGCTCGAAATTGTTGATCGGTAAATAAAATGCCGAGTTGAGTAGAAGATAAAATTGCTGCTAATGAAAATGCATGTTCTCCACTATATGGTATTGTAAATGTGCAAATTTTCTACCAGCTTGATCGTCGAACAATGTTAAACTGCCGTGCCATTTGTATAATCATACGCGAAATCAATATATTTACAATTTTACGTTTGACCTTGATGGATAATTATTGAAATATAATTTCATGTAATTGGAAACATTGGTGGAAAAAAATTTTTAAATTTAATTAGAGGTAAATTTTTTTCCCTGCCTGATTTTGTATTTCGTTTTAATCGAGTTACGTGTCATTCTTCGTATTACTTTTTGTAAAAATATTAAAAGAAAAACGATCACGATATTCTTGGTAATAATTTTATATTAATTCAAATTTAACGTTAAAAAGTTTCAACTCGAAATTTGAGATTGAATATTTTTGTAAATATATTACTGCTCATGTTCTATTATAATATTAAAAAAAATTACATTGCTTGTAATTCTGTGCTATTACATTCAATATAATTGTGGACGATAAAATAACGAAAATGACGGAATTAATACATATTATTATAAGGATTGAAACAACTGTAATCGTAACGATTTAAAGATTCTGAAAGTGATCATTTCTCGTATTATTAGTTTAAAAATTAATCCCAAGCATTCTATTCTTTATTATATATTCTTTTTTAAATTACTTTCATTAGTCTTTTTTTAAATAATTCTTTTCAAGTAAAACCAAAATTTAATACAAAGATAACAAGAAATATATGCTACATGAATTTGCGTTTAAAAAAATTAAGAAAAGTAATAATAGAAATATATATATATTCGAACGAGACCAAAATAGAAACTGTAACAAAAATAAAAAAAAAAAAAGTATGAAATCGAAACCTATCAATTTAATCGACTTAATACGATCGCCAATAAAATGGTGAAAAAGAAAAAATTTCAAAAGATATGAAATTGAAACCTATCAATTTAATCTATTTCGTATGATTGGCAATCGAATCGTCTAAATTATAATTATTACCAAGAAGAATTAAGTTTAAAAAGAAAAAAAAAACTTGAAAAAAAGTATAGTATACGAACATTTATTATTTTCAAAATTTCCATTCATTTCACGACATTGCTTTTAACGAACTTGGCTCCATACTGACGGATGAATTCTCATTTCATCGTTCGATGCAAACACGAACTTATTAACCATTTTGTCTGGGTGCACGCGTCGTACACCCATAACTCGATTTAACGTACCGAGTGGAGGCCGTTCGGATCCAGATTTGCAATTTATTTGCCGGGCTCTATTCACTTTTAATCCGCCTATGATCAATATCATGCACGCATTCATTTCGAACTTCATTAACGACGCGCGTTCTAATGGCGTGGACTCTTCGATTTTTTAATTTCCACCAACGCTTCCCGTTTTCCAATTGGGAATAATCGCAAATAATACGAATCGACGGCCACACCTACTCTTATTCAATTCAAAATTGAATTCGATCCTTTTACTTTTTTCCAATCGCACGATTCTTTATACTCTCTTCTCTCTCCCTCTCTCTTTTCTTATTCCTTTTCTAAGAAATTTTTGTCATTGAACAAATTTCAAGTCGTTACTTTGCTAATTTCAATTTTAAACGTATCCTATCTATTATGTTAATAGAAAATAAGAGTTAAGTTAGATGATTCAAAATGGTTGTTTTTCGTGTTCTTGCCACCAGAGGGACGGGCAAATTGAAATTAATCTCTAAAGAGATTAATTTCGTTGGCATTGCTTGTAACGTGAAGAATAAATTCATAGTCTTTTTTTCTTTCATAACAAATCTTATTGCCATCATTCGTGGATTAACATTCAATCTTTTAATCAGAGTAATTAAAAATATTGACAATTTATTAACAATTTCACGTTCCACGATAGAAATGCGTATTTTAATTTAGTTCCATAACAAAGTGATTTTTGTTTTTGCAACATACTGAAACAGAAATTCTCGTCGCAGGTAAACAAGCACTCGGGAGCTCGATGATTCGACGACATATCCGGGAATTTTTTTCCCCAGGTATCGCGTTTGAGTATGGATATGGTCAAAGGGAAAAACGGATTTA